TGTGGCCCTTTGCTTGCTGAAAACCAGAAACCACCTTTTTTTGTTGGGTTTTTTTTTTTTTTTAAGGCCTAAAATACTTTTTGCACTAAAATATTTTTTTTTACCCTTAAAAAAAGAGGTTTTTCTTTTAAAGGAGACCCGAGCATCCCATATTAATGAGCTCCACAGCAGCAGCAGCAGCAGGAACCGACTCTCCCTGGTTAACGCAGGAAGAGGGCGGCCTTGGGAGCCAAATGTTAATTATGCTTTGATTCCCATCAGCGTTTTATTTGCTCAGAGACATTTTTGGGCACTTAGTGGAGCATTCTGGAATTGTGGCTCCAAACCACCATGACCGTTTCATGCAGCACTGGCATGCACCAAAACCCCGGGAAGTTCTCCGTGAACTTTTCCTGCCCCCCGGCACACGCTGTCCCCACGGCACTGGTGAGGGCTCAGTGTCCCCCAGAAAACTGAAACATGCAAATAAATTCCAGGAATTCCCAAAATCAACTGGTTTCCATCATCTCCCACTAAAGGAAAAAAAAAAAGGGATTGCAAGGCCTGGAAAAAGTGGAGGCTCTTTAGGCCGCTGCACCAGCCAGGATTTTGGGATTATTTTTGGGGGTTTTTTGCCAGGTCATCACAGAGGTGGTCGAGGCCTCATCTCTGGAAAAATCCAAGGTCATGGCTGTGGACAGCTTGATCCAGTTGAAGATGTCCCCCAGAAAAATGCTACGTGCAAATAAATCCCAGCAATTCCCAGTTTCCATCATCTCCCACAATGCCTACTCCAAGGGAATAATTAGGGACTCACATTCCTGCTTGAGCTCCAGAGAAAATGGAGACTCTTTAGCTTATGTATCCAGATTTTGGGCTGGGTCAGTTTTGCTGCTTGAACTAGGTGCCCACAGAGGTGGTGGAGGCCTCATCCCTGGAAAAATCCAATGCCATGGCTGTGGACAACTTGATCCAGTTGAAGATGTCCCCCAGACAAGTACAACATGCAAATAAATCCCAGGAATTCCCAAAATCAACTGGTTTTCATCATCTCCCACAATGCCTACTCCAAAGAAAAAAAAAAACTGGGATTGCAAGGCCTGGAAAAAGGGGAGGCTCTTTAGGCCGCTGTACCAGCCAGGATTTTGGGATTATTTTTGGGGGTTTTTTGCCAGGTCATCACAGAGGGTGTCAAGGCCTCATCTCTGGAAAAATCCAAGGCCATGGCTGTGGACAGCTTGGTCCAGTTGAAGATGTCCCCCAGAAAAATGCTACGTGCAAATAAACTCCAGCAATTCCCAGTTTCCATCATCTCCCACAATGCCTACTCCAAGGGAAAAGTTAGGGACTCACATTCCTGCTTGATCTCCAGAGAAAATGGAGACCCTTTAGCTTATGAATCAGGATTTTGGGCTGGGTCAGTTTTGCTGCTTGAACTAGGTGCCCACAGAGGTGGTGGAGGCCTCATCCCTGGAAAAATCCAATGCCATGGCTGTGGACTTGATCCAGTTGAAGATGTCTCCCCAGAGAAGTACAACACACAATTAAATTCCAAGAATTCCCCCAATCAAGTGGTGTCCATCATCTCCCACAATGCCTACTCCAAAGGAGAGATTTGAGGCCGAAATTCCTGCTTGAGGCCTAGAAAAAGAGACTAAAAAAAGAGACTTTAGGCCAATCCAGCAGTCAGAATTTTGGGTTGGGTTATTTTTGCTGGGTGCCCAGGGAAATTGTGATCCCCTGAAATTCTCATCCCTGGAAAGATCCAAGGCCATGGCTCTGGAGAAGCTGATGCAGTTGAAGATGTCCCTGCTTACTGCAGGGGGCTTGGAGCAGGTGACCTTCAAGGGACCCTCCCAACCCAAACTGTTGAAAAATTCTGGGATTCCCAAGAAACACAGGAAAAATACAGCCTAAAGAGGGAAACATAAACCCTAATCCTGAATCCCAGCTCAGATTCCTTTCAGCTCCTCTTCAGCCCCTCTCCAAAGCTGAGTCCCAAGGACCTTCCAGGGCCACTTGAGCTGTCCTGGGGCCAGCTGGAGCCGTGACCCCACAGAGGGGTTTTCCTGCAGCCCTGTCGGGACAATGGGATTACTCAGCCCTGTCACGGTGCATTTCTGCAGCCTCAGGACTTTGGGTTCCGTTTTTTTTTCCCTGATGGGGCTTTTTGGAGGTGGAATTTTAGCCCAGGAGCCCTGACATGCCCGGGCTGAGGTTCCCTGATGGGCAGGTGGAGCTGTCCTTGCAGCTGGGACAAACGGCAGGGAGAGCAACAAATCTGCACCTTCCAACACCAGGGGAACACTTTTCACTTGGCCAAAATCCCATAAATTCAACAGGAATCAGCTCTGGAGGATGGGGGCATTGCCAAACCAGGCAGGAGAACAGGAATGAAGGTACTCCAAGGACACCTCACCCCAGGATGGGGCACAGTTCTGGAGCTACTGGCAGTGTGGAAATCCTGGATTTTATGGGACCAGGCTGAAAACTCATCTCAAACAGGGCAGCAGCTCCCCTCAGACCCAAAACTGTCCTGCTTTATTTCCAATCACAGCTCTCGTGCTGGGATGGGTTTGGATCAGCTCCACCTTGTCCCCAGAATCCTGAATTTCCTACTAGAGCTGGAATTGACTCTTTTTGGGAATGTTCCTTCACCCTCTCACTCCTTCCATCCCCAGCTGATGCTCATCTCACATTTTTGGTGCTTTTACAAACACCTCCATCATTTTTTTCATGGCTTTGGACAACACCTTTATCTCCCGCATTTCAGTAGCAAATCCCAGGAACTTCAGTGTGCTCCTAAATCAGCCACTGGAAAAATTCCCTGAACCCTACAAGGATGAAAAACCTTGACACCAAAGGATGTGGAGGCCTTTGGGATGCAGCCTGGTCCTTCCTGGCTTGCTCTCACCCACAATTTGGGTGATCCATCAGCAACATAAGGGAAAAAAACTCCAATCAATATTTAAAAGTCCCAAACCTGCAGCTCCCACAAAGCTTTGACCCAGACCTAAGGCTGCCCAAACCAGGCTAAGGTGCCTTCCTTGTCTCCCCAGGCTTTGGGGAGGCTCTGGAGCTCAGGGGCTGCCCAGCAAACCCAAACTTCTCCTCAGCTGGGGCTTTTCTAACCCAGTTCTGCAAGACAAAAGGCTGCCTTGATCTGTCCTGGTGCTTTTTAGACCAATTCAAGTCCTCCCAGCCTCCAAACCAACCCTGACTGGCTCCAAAAGGAAACATTAATATTTAAGGAAGATAAATCACTCCTGGCCCACCTCATAAATCACTGTGGGCATCCCCCCCCAGCTCATCTCTGCTGCTTCATGCTCTGCTGCAGAGACCAATCTCCCTGTCAAATTCCATTACTGGCTCCTGAGTATCCCCAGCGTGATGGGTGGAAGCCTCCAGGTGCTAAACCAACCCACAGCTCCTTTTTTTAAGGAGAAATCCGGCAATTTCCAGCATCTCCTGGCTTTGGAAGGCACCTGCCACAGGACACCTGCCTGGGGACATTAGGGACAAACCTGGCTGGGGAGATGGATCCAAGTCCTCCCCACCTCACTGCTCATTTATCAGTTTATTTACCAGTTTGTCCCACTGATAACAGAGCTGAGGAAGCCACTTCTTCTCCACACAGGTGCAGAGGAGCAGGGAAGCCACTTCCAGTCCCCTTTTGGGGATTTCTCCCCCCCAGTAAATCAGCCAGAGCTCTCCCTGCTCCCAGATCTTCCTGCTGGGATGGGGATGCCCAGAGACATGAGCCAGCACAGTTTGGGGGTGTGACACCTCCCAAAACAGGAGGGTGGGACCTCCTTCCAGAGGAGAATCCCAGGGCACAAACAGAATGAAGGAAGCTGCCACTGGGGAATATTAAATCTCCCCTTCCTGTTTATTCCCAGCTTGTGAAAGCAGCAAATAAATCCCAGTTTTGTAAAGGAAGAAAGATCTAAAATTGCTTTTAGAACAACCACAGAGTTCAGGGGATTTGCTGTTTCAAAATACCTGCTGATCCTCCCGAGAGTGTATCCACACAGCTCAAAACAAATCCCATTAAAAGGAGGGAAAAAAGCTGCTGGAGCAAAAAAGGAATCTCCCTGGTGATTGGATTTTTCCTACCAATGAGACACCACTCAGCCAACTGCAAAAAGCAGCATAAAGCACATTTCTGATGGCAACAGCAGCATAAACACAGGGACTTTAGACAGCAGAGAGAAGAAAGAAACATATGGTGCCTTCCAAGGAAGCAATATTGGGATGGGACACATCAGGGACTTGACAAACACTTGGAAACGCAGCTGTAGTTCCAGTAACGCATCCACAGGCTGGATTTTGGGAAAAAGAATCCTGGATGGGCATTAACTGCAAGCTAAAGTGTCTGAAATACAGGTATGGAATAAATCACAACCCTGCTGATACATGGTGGGCTGGGAGAGAGCCTCAATCCCACAAAACTAGACTTGCAAATAATTGGGAGAGTCCTGAAGCCCAGAGCTTGTGGCGACACGTGAAACCCCTTCTGTCGCAGACATCTTTTCATGAAAAATCCTTTCCTTAGGATTTTTCCTCCTGAGAAGCTGAGAGGCCTCAGGAACAAAATGTAACCAATGGTTATCTGCTGCTGTAGAACGCAACAGGTGCATCTGGGATTGGCCCATGTTGGATGTTTGTAATTAATGGCCAGTCACAGTCAGCTGGCTCGGACTCTCTGCCCGAGACAGAAGCTTTGTCATCATTCTTTCTGATTCTATTCTTAGCTTAGCTAGCTTTCTGATGAAACCTTTTCTTCTACTCTTTTAGTATAGTTTTAATGTAATATATATCATAAAATAATAAATCAAGCCTTCTGAAACATGGAGTCAACATTCTCGTCTCTTCCCTCATCCAAGAACCCCTGTGAACACCATCACACCCTCCTTTTAAAAACAGATATTTTTTCCCCGTATCCCCAGACCCCGTTTCCAGCACAGCCCGTGAGGTCTGAGCTCCCACAGGAGGCGGGAGCAGAGGGAGGGCGGGCTCACCGGGAGGTGGGTGAACACGGCGAAGGTGCTGCGCAGGAAGCCGATCAGATCCACCAGGTACTCGCTGGCCCGGCTGCCCGGCTCTGGGGCCATCCAGTCGTAGTCAGCCAGCTGCAGGAACTGGTCGATCTTCTGGTTCAGGTTGGTGTAGATCTCCTCCTCGGCGGCGTGCCGGGCGTCCTGGGAATGAGGCAGGACGTGGGATGGGGGCAAAATCCTACAGGGGATGGGGGCTCCAAACCAGCAAAATCCCACATGGCATGGGGGCTCCACACCACCAAAATCCCACGTGGGATGGGGGCTCCACACCACCAAAACCCCACGTGGGATGGGGGCTCCACACCCCAAAAATCCCACGTGGGATGGGGGCACCAAACCACAAAAATCCCACGTGGGATGGGGGCTCCACACCACCAAAATCCCACGTGGGATGGGGGCTCCACACCACCAAAATCCCACGTGGGATGGGGGCTCCACACCACCAAAATCCCACGTGGGATGGGGGCTCCACACCACCAAAATCCCACGTGGGATGGGGGCCCCACACCACCGAGACCCCACGTGGGATGGGGGCTCCACACCACCAAAATCCCACGTGGGATGGGGGCTCCACACCACCAAAATCCCACGTGGGATGGGGGCTCCACACCACCAAAATCCCACGTGGGATGGGGGCTCCACACCACCAAAATCCCACGTGGGATGGGGGCTCCACACCACCAAAATCCCACGTGGGATGGGGGCTCCACACCACCAAAATCCCACGTGGGATGGGGGCTCCACACCACCAAAATCCCACGTGGGATGGGGGCTCCACACCACCAAAATCCCACGTGGGATGGGGGCTCCACACCACCAAAATCCCACGTGGGATGGGGGCTCCACACCACCAAAATCCCACGTGGGATGGGGGCTCCACACCACCAAAATCCCACGTGGGATGGGGGCTCCACACCACCAAAATCCCACGTGGGATGGGGGCTCCACACCACCAAAATCCCACGTGGGATCGGGCTCCACACCACCAAAATCCCACGTGGGATGGGGGCTCCACACCCCAAAAATCCCACGTGGGATGGGGGCTCCACACCCCAAAAATCCCACGTGGGATGGGGGCACCAAACCACAAAAATCCCACGTGGGATGGGGGCTTGACACCACTGAGACCCCACATGGGATGGGGGCTCCAAACCACAAAAATCCTAAATGGGATGGGGGCTCCACACCACTGAGACCCCACATGGGATGGGGGCTCCAAACCAGCAAAATCCCACATGGGATGGGGGCTCCAAACCAGCAAAATCCCACATGGGATGAGAGTTCCACACCACCAGGACCCTGTGTGGGATGGGGGCTCCACATCACTGAGACCCCATGAGATGGGGGCTCCACACCACTGAAATCCTCCATGGGATGGGGGCTTCACACCATCCTCTTAAGGGGTGGGAGCTTCACCCAACCCTTAGACTGGGATTTGACACAGCCCTAAAGCTCAGGGCAGCCACCATGAGGCTGCTGCACCCTCAGGCTGGTGGGACAGGGACCACTGGGCTGTGGTGGGCAGCACCAAGCTGGAATCTGCCCCTGACGTGACCTGAGGACAGATCCAGAGGAGATGGAGGAGAGACTGGCTCCAGGGGAGGGATCCTGGTGCTGATGACACCAAGGTGGTGTTCAACCCCTGGATGGGGAGTTCCAGACTGATGATCCCTACAGTTCAGAACATCCTGTGATTCTGAGGTGGGAGAGGAACACCCCCTATGGAACCCCACCAAACCCAGCACAGGGCTGGGGTTCAGGAGCCTCCCTGCCAGAACAAGGGCAGGACATTGAGCTTCAGGTCAGACAGGTGGATAAACCCAGGATGGACTTCCCTGGGGACACAAGACTGAGTCACCCCAAGGCAAAGCCTCACCAAACCCATTCCTGCTGTTCCCACCTCTGGATCTCTACAGGACACCCCACACTTGACCCAACCAGATCCCATATAAAGCACTCCTGGAGTGGGATTTAAAGGTTGGGAACTCTGGGAGTTCCTGTCAGCCCTGATTTTTAGGGGATAATGCTAAAAGGAGTGGGAAGATGGAGAAATACAAATTCTGGAAATCCTCCTCCTGGGTGGAAGAGGAACCTGGTGTCCATGACACAGCACTCCAACAGCAAAGCAAGGATTTATTTAAATTAGAAACATCAGGCTTTTGTTTAAGATCTCCTTAATCCTTTAGCTAATTAGTACTGTAAATTAAGGACCAAACCTCCCATGATCTCGACAGGAGCAACGCTCCGAAGGACAAACCCAAAGCGATGGCGCAACCTCCCCAAAATAGGCCAGAATGATCCTTGGGCTCAGCCCAGCTGGCCCTGAGGCCTCCTGAGCAGATCCCTCCCAGCACCCACCCAGGGGTGGGACCCTGAAGGTGGTGGTGGTCCTGGAGAGCTCACCTTGAAGGTGGTGGTCCCATAGAGCTTGGTGGTGTGCACGGTCTCGGGCAGCACGTTGGTGATGTTGGTGATGAACTCCTCCAGGAACTTGCAGGATTTCTCCAGGTGGGTGGTGTTGATGATGATCTGCACCAGCTGGGAAGGCAGAGAAGGGTTTCAGCCCCGCTGCCAGGGCTGTGCCAGGGGAAGGGATGCCAGTTCCATGCAATGCTGACGCTGTGCAAACACCCCGGGCTTTGCTACGGGCTCCAGTCTCACCTCCTTTAACAACACCTAAATCCAAGATAATTTTGGAGGGGAAGCGTTTCCCATGACAGCCACTAATACCACGGGAGGTGATTTTTTTCTTTTCAAGGACTTTCCTACATTGAGCTGTCACTCAGGGCTCCCCAAAAAAAACTGCCAGGACACATCAGGAGGCTCCTGGCTGCCATTGAACCCAAAAAATAACCCGAACTTGAGTGACACAGAGCAGCATCACAGGGGCCCTGAACAAAGGAACCACGAGGTTTGGCTCTGGCAGGTGTGGGGTGAGCAGATCCCTGCCAGCCCCCGGGGCAGCAGAACGCCCTGGGTTGGTGTCATTTCACTGCTGGAGCGTGGTGGGGCCGTCTGCAGCCACCTCCCGTGCAGGAAGGGCTTGGAAACGCTCCCAGATCTGAAGGAGGTTGGATTCATCAGCGATTTCAAAGGTGCAGGTGCAGAAACTGGGAAGTGACACCTCAAAGATCCCAGCACTGGTGCTGGTGACACCCTGGGAGGCTCAGCCTGGACATGGGGAAGGAGAAGAGACACTGGAAAGGTGCAGAAGTGGAACAGGGTGTCCAGAGAAGCTGTGGGATGTCTGGGAGAAATGAGAAGTTGGGAAGGGAAAGCCTTGGGTGACACGATGCAAGGCAGCAATAATTAAGTAAACAATTAGTAACTCCTTGTTTAATACCAGCAATTAGTAACACCTTGTTTAATTCTCAGAGGTCCCACCTGTCCAGGAGACCTACAGATTTACATGGATTAAAATCATCAGGAACATGATTTTGTACAAAAAAAGAGAATGGACCACAGAAAGAAAATCCCAATTTAGGGTTTGTGCTGCAGCAATGTGCTGAATCCACTCAAACATCACCTTAAAACGAGGATTGCTCTCCCATCCCCTCACATTTCCCTTTTGGATCCTCTCTGGTCCTCCCTGAAGTCCTCTGACTTTAACTCTTATTTGTAGCATTGCCCAAAATGTAAAGAGCAAAATTCACAGCCAATAGCAAAGAAACCTCTTCACTTTCCCACCAGCTAAAGTTCCTCGCTTTGTACAACAACTCTGAGCAGTTTTCCAGGCAAATATTTCATGGAATGCTCCAAACCAGCACCTCTAAAGGTGCTTGAGGGAGTTCCAAGGGACCTCCTGTCACCCTGCCCTGGAATCACACAATCCAGGAATGGTTTGGCTTGGAAGGGACCTCACAGATGATCTAATTCCAACCCCATCACCTCCTGCTATCCCAGGTGGATCCAAGCCCCAGTGTCCGACCTGGCCTTGGGCACTGCCAGGGATCCAGGGGCAGCCCCAGCAAATCTGGGAATTCCAGCTCAGTCCCTCACCCAGGAATTCTTTCCCAAGATCCCATCCATCCCTGCCCTCTGGCAGAGGGAAGCCATTCCCTGTGGCTCCATTCCCAAGGGAATCCACAGCCCACCTCTGTCAGTCCAACGTTTTTCCTCTTGATGACATTCTGTAAACAGTTGCTCAGGGTCCGGGTCAGCAGCAGATTTGTGGATTTTCTGATCATGTCATCGACTTCCGTGGAGCTACAAAGTAAAATTTAAAGAGGAATTTGAAAGATGCTCCATGGAAAGAAAACCCCTGGGTATTCTCCTCGTCCTCCTTCCCACCTCTCCCCTGCCTCATCCCTGAGCAGCCCTGCAGGGCTCACAGGAGCTGATGTTTGAAGTGCATCAAAATACAACAATTTAAACCTTTTTATCCATGTTTCAGAAGGAAAAGTGAATTAACACCTGCAGATCCCAAATTCTTCAGGCTCCCATCCAAGAGGAGCTGGTCCAGCCTAAGGAAGGGCCACCCATGGCATCAGCACAACCCTACCCTCAACACTGGGGGTTGCAGGTTCAGTAAAAGGGAAAAGAACTCCAGTGGTGAAATCCCAAATCAAACTCCCCAAAATTCCCCTCTCAGCCCTTTCTGGGCTTTTAGACAAAATTACAGAACCATGGAATGCTCAGGTTGGAAGGGATCTTAAAAGGAAACTGGAAAAACTGCAGGAGTGAGCAAGGTCACAGGGAATGGGTTTAGAAGGGCACAGTACCAATGATCCCTGGATTTCCACACAGGGACTCCCCAGCACAGCACAGCTCCACCTCCAGAATCCCAGAGTGGCTTGGGTTGGAAGGGACCTTAAATCCCATCCCATTCCCAATCCCATCCATGGGCAGGGACACCTCCCACTATCCCAGGTGGATCCAAGCCCCAATGTCCAACCTGGCCTTGGGCACTGCCAGGGATCCAGGGGCAGCCCCAGCAAATCTGGGAATTCCATTCCTAAGAATTCCTTGCCAAGATCCCAGCCCAATCTCCCCTTTCCCAGTGGGAGCCATTCCCTGGCTCCTGTCCCTGCAGGCCTTGGCCCCAGCCCCTCTCCAGCTCTCCTGGAGCCTCTTTAGGGACTCTGAGGATTCCCTGGATTTTCCCTTCTCCAGGGGAACATTCCCAGCTCTCCCAGCCTGGCTCCAGCCCTGTATCACCAGACTGGAAGCTCCTGCACCCTATTCCTGCCCTTTCCCAGGTGTCTGGAGCAGCAGCACTGTTGGAATTCGGGGGTTCAGCCCCTCCCAGGTGCTCATGGTGCCACCTCTCCCTTCTCCAGGAGGTTTTGCCAACCCCCCCTGCCAGAGGCTCCTTGGATCTGTGCTTGGCTCTGCATTAGCCCTGACAGGAGTGGGAATTGTCTCCTGCAGGAGGGGCAGGAGAGGGAATTCCCATCGGGAAGGCTGGGCAGGAACTCTGATCCTCCCGGTAAATCGAGCCCCTGACCTTTGGCTCCTTCTCCTGCTCCACCTGACAGAGGGGCCACGTCACAGAGCTGGGATTGACGTGGGAAACAAAAGCCAACCTTGAAGTTATCCCGGGAGAAAGGTGGGGGGTGTTGGGATGCTGCAAGCAGGGGGGTGGGAATGGCTTGGATGGGATCTTGGCAAGGAATTCCAGACTAGGAGGGCAGTGAGGCCCCGGGATAGAATTCCCAGATTTGCTGGGGCTGCCCCTGGATCCCTGGCAGTGTCCAAGGCCAGGCTGGACACTGGGGTTTGGAGCACTCTGGGACAGTGGGAGGTGTCCCTGCACTTTGTATCCCAAGTTCTTCCAGGTTTGGGGCTTTGTTTGCAATAAACCCAACCCAAACCCAGGCCTTGGTGGATTAGAACTGATCACCCTTGCACCCACTGTTTTCCACAGCTACTCCCTATTTCCAAGTGGGAAATTCCACTGGAAAAAATAAGAGGGTACCTTTAAAGACAACCTGATGAACTCACCATGTAAAAAGGAGAAAGTGCTGAGGAGATAAAGGAAATTTTCCTGCTCCAATCCAATTAATAGTGCCAATAACAAAAACTCCAAGCCCTACAAACCCACCCGGGGCTCCAAACTTTCCTCAAGTGAAACAACTCCCACATCAAGGAGAACCCTCCCATCCAACAAATACAAGGAGCTGCTTTAACAAAATAATTAGGGGAGGGGAGAAAAAAAAAAAAAAACCCCATAAAATGGGAGCTCCACTTTCTGCCACGGGCTGTGCTGTGCAGGAAAAGGCTTGAAGGGAACTGTCTGGGATAATGACAGCTCCTGTCCCGGATCCTGTGGCAGCTGCGGTGACCTCCAGGCCCCTGTGAGTGACGGGCTGACCCCCAGCACTCCGGGGTGCTCCGTAAATGACAGGGCCAGGGGAAAAAAGAAAGGGAGGAGAAAAGGGAACTCGCTGCCGGCTTTGTAGCCAAGCTTCCTAATAAAACCTAATTCAAGCTGTCAGGGTGAAATGAAGAAAGTGTCAACAGGGGTTTGCAGAGAAATATTCCAAATGTTTGGCTCTGAGAGCGGGAGCTGGGGCTCCCCTCCCCCTCGCTGCTCCGAAAGGGCTGGAAAATCCAATGTGGAAAGGAATTTTAATGATGGGTGCAGAGAGAGCCCCAGGAGGGACCCACGGGGACACCTCTGCTCCCTGCCCTGCCAGGGCCAATCACCCCGGCCATGGGGAGCAGCACCCACAGGGAATGGGCTCTGGGAAGGGAGAGGGGCCCTGGGAGCCACCAGGAGGAGGAGAAGCTGCCACCACTGCAAGGATGGGGTGGAACATGGGGGAGAAACTCCTGAGCTCCCAGAGCAACCTGCAGGGAAAGGGGCTCTCCAAATTGGCATTCCTGGCTCCAAGGAGAGCTGGAAAACCCTGGAGAGCCTGGGGCAGGCACTGGAACAGCCACTGAGTTCCCAGAACTGTCCCAGCTCCACAGCACCCATGGGGCACAGGGGATGGGGTTGGGATGGAAGGGACCTTAAATCCCATTTGGATCCAACTCCAGGGACGCTTCCCACTGTCCCTGGTGGATCCAGCCTGGCCTTGGGCACTGCCAGGGATCCAGGGCAGCCCCAGCAAATCTGGGAATTCCAGCCCAGCCAGGAATTCCTTGCCAAGATCCCAGGCCAATCTCCCCTTTCCCAGTGGGAGCCATTCCCTGGCTCCTGTCCCTGCAGGCCTTGTCCCCAGCCCCTCTGCAGCTCTCCTGGAGCCCCTGCAGGCCCTGCCAGGGGCTCTGAGCTCTGCCTGGAGCCTTCCCTTCTCCAGGGCAACATTCCCAGCTCTGCCAGCCTGGCTCCAGAGCAGAGGGGCTCCAGCCCTGCAGCAGCTCCGGGGCCTCCTCTGGGCTCTCTCCAGCAGCTCCAGGGTCAGGTCATGGCCAGGATATGAAGCTCCCAAGGAGGTGGAACGGCCCCCACCCCAATCCAGCCTCGTGTTGGCCCAGGGAAGGGAAGGAGGATGAATCCCTTCAGCCAAGCTCTTCTGCTGCGTTTCTAAGCCTCTCCCAAGCTGTGAATGCTGCTGATGCAAAGGCAAAGCCCCAGCTCTCAGTTCCTGGCAGACCCTGCTGGTTTTCAGTCTCACACACGTACACATGGGTGAAACGAGCATCAAAGCACCCTGGGATGGAGCAGGGAGGGTAAACACATGGAATATTTTTCAGGTTAAAAAAAAAAAAAAATCACATTATTTGTATATAAACTCGCTGAAGAAACAAGAACAACAAAAGCACGAAACCAGCAGCTGAAACTCGTTCCTGACCAAAAATCCAACCCTCAGAGTCTTCCTGACAACACTTCCATGGAACCACGGGATTCCCATTCCCTGGGGAGCAGTGAGGGGAGGCCTGGGGGGATCAGAGATGTTCCAGCAGGCCCTGGTGACGAGTGGCCACCACAGCCTCTCTCCAGACACCCACGTTCATTTATTTATCAAAAGAATGATGCAGAAACATCTCAGAGGAAACAGCCCCAACTGGGATTGTCCTGGGAGCGTGGAATTCCCTGCAAGTGTCCAGGGCCAGGCTGGAGGAGGCTTGGAGCACTGTGGAAGGTGTCCCTGTGATGGGTTTGGAGACGATCCCCAAAGCTCCTCCCAACCCAAACCATCCTGGGATCTCCCCCTGCAGGGGCAGACGTGGCCAGCCAAAATCCCACTGCTCCAGAGCCACTTCCAGCCTGGACAGGCCCCATGTTTTACTTCAGCTGAGCTCCCTGAGGGCACGTTTCCCACCTGAGGTGCAGGTCCTCGGAGAACTTGAGGCAGGCGTAGATGAACTCCTTGATCTGGCTGTAAACCTTGGGCACGAACTCCGAGAAGGGGAACTTCTTTGGGAAGGGTTGCTGGAAAACAGGGGGAGAACAGCTCCAGAGGGAGGGCAGGGACAGCAGGGAGGGCTCTGCCAGGCAGGCAAAGCAATTCTGGGATTTATCCTGGATTTTATCAACACTTCAGCCAAGGGGGAGAGCTGATAGTCACAAATGGAGCAGGGGGGCTTTGGGGCCATTCCCTCTCCCAACTCCCTTCCCCTCCCTCCTTGGGAACACCTGGAACTCCTCCTCCACCATGCACGAGGTGTTTTCCTGCTCACCTCCCCCAGGTGCTGCCCAACGACCCCAAAAACCAGGAGCAAACAGATTTTCCAACACCAGATTTTCCCAGTTTTCACCCCCAGCACTCAGAGCTGGGAGGTGCAGGGAGCAGCTGAACCCCAGGACTGAATTTTGGGGCAGGACCCAGAAATCTGAACCCCTGACTGGGATCACCAGGGTTGGATTTGCTGCCTGCCAGGTGTGGATTTAGGGGACATCTGGACACACTTTGGTTTTCCAAGCACACGCTCGTGCAAAGGCCAAGAACCATCACATTTTTGGGCTCTTTTTCTCTAAATATGAGACAAAAACCAACAAAGGTCAATCCCTGGGTCCATAAAATGGGAATAAAATGCCAGTGGAAGTGTGTTTCTACCTGTGTGACAGAACACTCTGAGAGGAACACAAATCCCACTTCCCTCATGCACACCAGGAGAAATGCATCCCATGGGAGGAATATTTGTTCTTTCCCATTACTTTCCTTTCTCTTTCATTGTTTATTTATGCTGGGGGGGTGATTTGGGTTTCTTTTTTAATCCTGTCAATGCCCACAAAGGGTGTGAGGTTCTCCTGCCCCAGCAGCCAGGCCAGGATCTCCCCATTCCAAGATTCACCTTTTCAAGTTCAGCATCCTGGAATGGGAACTGCCCAACGATTTTCCTATAAACTTCTTCATTTGACACCGGGATGGGGCTGTAGTTATCCGAGTCAAGGATATTTCTAGGAGGAGAAGAAAAGAAGAGTCAGGGAGACAAATGTGAGGGGGAAGTTTTCCTGCTGGGCCAGGAGATTCCCAGAGGCTGGTGCCAGGCTAAGGTGGGATCCCAAATTCCTGCAGCAGCAGCCAGGGATATCCCAAAGCAGCCACAGCTCGGGGATGGAGCAAGGGCACAGAACCATGGAATGGTTTGGGTGGGAAAGGACCTTAAATCCCACCCAGTGCCACCCCATCCATGGGCAGGGACACCTCCCACTGTCCCAGGTGGATCCAGCCTGGCCTTGGGCACTGCCAGGGATCCAGGGGCAGCCCCAGCTGCTCTGGGAATTCCAGCCCAGGCAGGAATTCCTTGCCAAGATCCCAGCCCAATCTCCCCTTTCCCAGTGGGAGCCATTCCCTGGCTCCTGTCCCTGCAGGCCTTGTCCCCAGCCCCTCTCCAGCTCTCCTGGAGCCCCTGCAGGGACTCTGAGGATTCCCTGGATTTTTCCCTTCTCCAAGGGAATATTCCCAGCTCTCCCAGCCTGGCTCCAGCCCTGGAACAGCTCCGGGGTCTCCTCTGGATTTATTCCAGCAGCTCCATGGCAGGGGTGGCCCTAGATGGGCTTTAAGGCCCCTTCCCACCCAACCCATTCCATGATTCTACCATTAACCCCTCAAAAACTCCCACAGAGAGGCCAGAACCCCTCAGTGAGGGAGGTTCCTGTGTGTCAGTGCCAGGAGGTTCTTTTGGAGCCTCTCACCTGAAGACCCCAGCCCATTTCTTCAGCAGGGTCTCACTGTACTGGTCCTGGATCTCCAGCAGCATGTCAAAGAGCTGGTTCACGGGGAAGCCATAGCCCTGCAGAGCAGCAGCAAGGGAATGAGACCCCCAGCAGGCAGCTGGGCAGCGCTGTCTGTATTTAACAGGGGCAAATCCTCCTCCAGCACCACCCCTGGTGCAGCTGGGGATCATTGTCTGTATCTAACAGGGGCAAACCCTCCTCTGGTGCAGCTGGGGCTCCTTTTCTGTATTGAACAGGGGCCAATCCTGCTCCAGCACCACCCCTAGGGATCATTGTCTGTATTCAAAGGGGCAAATCCTCCTCCAGCACCATCCCTGGTGCAGCTGGGGCTCATTGTCTGTATTTAACAGGGGCAAATCCTCCTCTAGCACCACCCCTGGGGATCACTGTTTGTATCTAACAGGGGCAAATCCTCCTCTGGTGCAGCTGGGGCTCCTTTTCTGTATTTAACAGGGGCAAACCCTCCTCCAGCACCATCCCTGGTGCAGCTGGGGATCACTACCTGTATTTAACAGGGGCAAATCCTCCTCCAGCACCACCCCTGGGCATCATTGTCTGTATTTAACAGGGGCAAATCCTGCTCTGGTGCAGCTGGGGTTCCTTTTCTGTATTTAACAGGGGCAAATCCTCCTCCAGCACCATCCCTGGTGCAGCTGGGGCTCATTGTCTGTATTTAACAGAAGTAAATCCTCTTCTAGCACCACCCCTGGGGATCACTGTCTGTGTTTAACAGGGGCAAACCCTCCTCTGATGCAGCTGAGGATCACTGCCTGTATTTAACAGGGGCAAATCCTCCTCCAGCACCATCCCTGGTGCAGCTGGGGCTCCTTTTCTGTATTTAACAGGGGCAAATCCTGTTCTAGCACCACCCCTGGGGATCATTGTCTGTATTTAACAGGGGCAAACCCTCCTCTGGTGCAGCTGGGGATCACTGTCTGTATTTAACAGGGGCAAATCCTATTCTAGCACCACCCCTGGTGCAGCTGGAGGGGCTCAGGGGGTGATTGACCAAGGGAGCAGCACCAAGAGCTGTCCCAGGTTGAGGTGGCCAAGCTTGGTCCTTGCACAGACCAAACCAGGCTGTCCCTCAGGTCATCCAGAAATGCCAAATAAATTCTGGCATTTTTTTGGCCCAGAAATGCCAGGAAAGGAGCTTGGCCAGCCCAGCCCAGGCACCAAAGCCCTGCTGGAGCTCTGGGAGCACCAGGAGAGCCCCACGTACCTGCAGCGTGTCAGCAAAGAGCACAATGAGGTTCTTCAGGTCCAACACCAGGCTGGGGTCAGAGCAGTAGGACTGGAGAGGAAAACACGGCTGTGACTGCCTGGCACAGCCCAAACCCTGCCCTGAGCCCCTCTGTGCCACCAGGGCTCTGATCAACCCTGCCCAGGAGCAGCGAGGGATGCACCGGGCAGGGCTGATAAGGGTGACAATGCTGATAAGGGTGACAATGCTGATAAGGGTGATAATGCTGATAAGGCTGATAAGGCTCTGCTCCCCGGGCTGGAGAAGGCTCTGGGCTGCCCCAGAGATACCTGAGGTGTGTCTAAAACTGCCCAGGAGCTGCTGGGCAGCGAGAGGAGATGGCTCCCATGGTGTTGTCACCATGGGACAGGGTGACATTTAATATTTACCTCTCATTTCATTTGCCTCTCATTTAATATTTACTGTGTTGTGTCTGACGGTAATGAAGCATCTCAGCCAGGCTGAGGGAAAAACACGCTGGATTCCAGCTCCAGCACGGGGATTTATCCCGCTCCAAACCCCCCAGACACAGCTCAGTGTCCCCAGAGCAGCCCCAGTCCCCCACTGGGCTTCCCAAGAGCAGCCAAAAATGTGCTGAAAAATGTGGAGTTTGAGACAGAGGCTGCCCAAATATAGAATCAGCGATCCCAGGCTGGAAAGGGAGTGGGATTTAAAGCTCGCTGGAAACTCCAGGAGGAACAGCTCCATTAATCAGAGGGAAGGGCTGGGAGACACACGTTTTCCATCTCCCTGTCCAAAAAGGAGAGTCAGGAAGAAAGATAATGCCCTGAAGCATCACCAGTGATTAAAGATGTCCCCGTCTGCGGCGAGGAGGAAAATCCAGGGATAAATTTGTCTGCCTTGGAAGGATCCAAATGGCCTCAGCAAGGTGAGACCCTCCCTCAGATCCCAGTTTTTGGGATGCAGGGCACTGGTTGAACTGGGAGTGCTCAGGGCAAATAAATGGTGGTGGCCACAGGGGTTGGGAAAGCAGGGAATGTTTTGTGATTGCTGAAAAAGCCTCCCCTGGCAGCCACTCCGTGCGTTCCCTTTGGCACCACTTGAAACAACCTGAGTGGTAACAAAGCTGGGAACACCAAAAAAACCCCGTGGCCGGGCCTGCCTCAGCCTCCTGCTGCCAGCTCCGAGAAAATCCCACTTGAAACAAAAACAAACACAGGTTTGCAGCTGGGGGGGTTGGTGTTTATCCCCCCTGGCAGCACAGGAGCTGGGGGGGAAGGAGGAGGCTCTGCAGTCACCTGGATGGGGATGGAGAACACCAGGAACCTTCTGGGGTCCCTCATCCCACAGAGATCCATGTCCTTCTCTTCCCATATTTTCACCCAAGGTGCTCCTGCCTCTCTCCTGGGGTTCTGTCTCTCTGGATTTGGTTTTTCAGCCCATTTCTCAGCACTTTCACAGCCACAAAATTTAAGGGATCAAGATGATCTCTAAGGTCCCTCCCAACCCAAACCACTCTGGGATTCTCTGATCATATGTGCCAAAAAGTTTCCCCCTTTCCCCCTTTCCCCCTCAGTTTCTTGGGAAAAATCAACTTTCTCTTTTCTTTCACCTGGATGGATGGGGATGAGGAACACCAGGAACCTTCTGGGGTCCCTCATCCCAGAGAGATCCAGGTTCATCAGGGAGATCCGTGTCCTTCTCTTCCCATATTTTCACCCTTGATCTCTCCTGGGGTTCTGTCTCTCTGGATTTGGGTTTTCAGCCCATTTCTCAGCCTATTTCCAGCCCATTTTCCAGCCCATTTCTCAGCACTTTCACAGCCACCAAATTTACGGGATCAAGGTGATCTCCACGGTCCCTTCCAACCCAAACCACTCTGGGATTGTCTGATCATATGTGCCAAAAAGATGCTTTAGCCCCCAGTTTTTTGGGAAAAATCAATTTTCAAATCCCTGGATGGGGATGGAGAACACCAGGAACCTTCTGGGGTCCCTCATCCCAGAGAGATCCAGGTTCATCAGGGAGATCCGTGTCCTTCTCTTCCCATATTTTCACCCTTGATCTCTCCTGGGGTTCTGTCTCTCTGGATTTGGTATTTTCAGCCTATTTCCAGCCATTTTTTCAGCCCATTTCTCAGCACATTTACAGCTGTGAAATTTACGGGATCAAAGTGATCTCTAAGGTCCCCTCCAATCGAAACCACTCTTGGATTCTCTGATCATATGTGCCAAAAAGATGCTTTAGCCCTCAGTTTTTGGGAAAATTCAACTTTCCAGTCACCTGGATGGGGATGGAGAACACCAGGAATCTTCTGGGGTCCCTCATCCCAGAGAGATCCAGGTTCATCAGAGAGATCCGTGTCCTTCTCTTCCCATATTTTCACCCAAGGTGCTCCTGCCTCTCTCCTGGGGTTCTGTCTCTCTGGATTTGGGTTTTCAGCCCATTTCTCAGCCTATTTTCAGCCCATTTTTAGCCCATTTCCAGCCCATTTTTTAGCCATGAAATTTAAGGGATCAAGATGATTTCTAAGGTCCCCTCCAACCCAACCCAAACCATCCTGAGATTCTCCAATCCTGTATCAAACAAGGTCATGATTCAGTGTGCCAAAAGATGCTTTAACACCAGATTTTGGGAAAAATCAACTTTCCAGTCACCTGGGTGGGGATGGAGAACACCAGGAACCTTCTGGGGTCCCTCATCCCAGAGAGATCCAGGTGCAGGAAGAGCCATGGAATGGTGTGGGGTGGAAAGGACCTTCAATCCCATCCGGTTCCACCTCCTTCCATTGCACCAGGATGCTCCAAAACTGCTGTTTGTGTCCTTCTCTTCCCAGATTTCCACCCAAGGTGCTCCTGGCTCTCTCTGGGGTTCTCTCCCTCTGGATTTAGTTTTTCAGCCCATTTTCAGCCTATTTTCAGCCCATTTTTAGCCCATTTCTCAGCCTATTTTTAGCCCATTTTCAGCCCATTTTTAGCCCATTTCTCAGCCTATTTCTAGCCCATTTCCAGCTCATTTTCCAGCCCAATTTTAGCCAATTTCTAACCCATTTTTCAGCTATGAAATTTAAGGGATCAAGATGATCTCCAAGGTCCCCTCCAGCCCAAACCACCCTGGGATTCTCTGATTCTGTATCAGACAAGGTCATGCTTTTCCAAAAAGATGCTTTCTTCCCCCCCAAGTTTTTTGGGACAAATCAATCCCTCTGCTGGTGCTCCTCAAAAATTCTGAATTAAATAATGACGAAAACACAAAACCACCGTTTCACTCTTCAAAATACCGACTTTGGTGGGGAAATGCAGTCAACCAAGAGGCTAAAAAACCCAGAGAAAGAGAATTATCTGCGTGTCTGCGTCGTTCCTTTAAACACTCATTGGAAAAGAGGGAAAACAAAGAATCCTGAGGGGGGGGAAAAAAGGCAGAGTTGCAGCATGTCAAGGACAGTCAAGCAACAGCTGAGCTCTGCTGGGCTTTTACTCACGGAGTGGGTCCTGAGGGCCGCGATGGTTTTGGACAGGGCCATCTCCCACAGCTCATCAATGTAGGCCCGGTTGACCAGGCCCTGCGTGGTGTGCAGGATGTGATCCTCCACCACAAAAAACCTGAAACGCAGAAAACGCCACCAAAACCTCACATCTGAGGGGCCCGAGGACATCCCCGAGCCCCTTCGGGTGAGGGGGGAGCACCCATGGGTCTGGGTTTGGGGGATTTGGCAAACCCAGGCTGCTCCAAGTGCTTTATTCCCTCATTTTTAATTTCACTGGGTTGGGGGAGGGAGGTAAAACCCTCCCTGTGCTGCTCTGTGTGTACACAAAGGCAGAATTCCCCCTCCACGGGTTCCCCACCTCGTTATTCCCACAAGAACCGCGGATTAAACTCTGCTGCAGCCAGCAGCAATCCCATCACAATTGGGGAAAACACTTTATCTTGCTTTATCTGCAGGGAAAAATGCTTTGAGTACAGGGAAAACTGCTTTATCTGCAGGGAAATCTTCTTTATCTGCAGGAAAGAGTGCTTTAAGTACAGGGAAAAATGTTGGAACTGTAGGGAAAACTGCTTTATCTGCAGGGAAAAATGCTTTAAGTATAGGGAAAACTATCTTCAATGCTTTAAGTATAGGGAAAACTTTGTCTTCCCTCTTTATCTTCAGGGAAAAACACTTTATCTGCAAGGAAAATACTTTATCTGCAGGAAAATGCTTTATCTGCAGGAAAAAAATTATTTAAGTACAGGGAAAAAAAGTTGGAACTGTAGGGAAAAACGCTTTAAGTATAGGGAAAACTTTGTCTTCAATTTTTTAAGTATAGGGAAAAAATGCTTTAAGTATAGGGACAATTTTGTCTTCCATCTTTATCTTCAGGGAAAAACACTTTTTCTGCAGGGGAAAATGTTTTAAGTACAGGGAAAAATACTTTATCTGCAGGGAAAAATGCTTTATCTGCAGGGAAAAACACTTTTTCTGCAGGGGAAAATGTTTTAAGTACAGGGAAAACTGCTTTATCTGCAGGAAAAAATGTTTTAAGTACAGGGAAAAAATGTTGGAACTGTAGGGGAAAATGATTTATCTGCAGGGGAAAACTGCTTTATTTGCAGGGAAAAATGTTTTAAGTACAAGGAAAAATGTTGGAACTGCAGGGAAAAATGTTGGAAGTCCAGGGAAAATCCTCTCTCCCACCCAGCCCCACCACGTGCTCCCAAATTTCCAGACAATCAATTTGCTCCAGTCTCCAGTTGGAGATCAACTCTGCTGCTCCAAAAAAAAACAAAAAAAAGTGTTTTCCAGGGAAAATGAAGGTGAGAGTGTGGCCATTTTAAATGGTGACACAGGAATTTCCAGGTGGTTTTTTCCAAGGAAATCCAGGCCAGGAGCAGGGAGCTGCAGGAGGGGAGCAGCACACGTGGAGTTTGTGGTGTTGTAATTAGGAATTGAAATGATTCTCATTAATAGCTGAAGAAAGAACAAATCCTGTCCAGTTTTTATGGACCAGCAGCCTTTGGAATTCTCCTCTCAATGCTCAGTTTGGAAGATTTTTCTTCAAATTTGAGCGTGACAAAAAAGCAGCTCTGGGGAACAGAGAATCAGCTCCTCCAGCAGGAAAGTAAATAGAGAATAATTGTTAAATATTCCAGAATCATTAAGGCAGAGGACCCATTCATGTCATTAGCAGGGCAAGAAGGTGAACATCATCCACAGGAAACATTTATCCTCAAATTCCCAGAAATCCACAGAAACTCCCAGAAACTCCAAGAAATTCCCAGAAATTCCCAGGAATTCATAAAAATTCCTGGAAATTCATATAAAATCCCCCAAAATTCATAGAAAATCCCTGAAATTCCCAGAAATTCATAAAAATTCCTAGAAATTCATAAAAAATCCCCCAAAATTCATAGAAAATCCCTGAAATTCACAGAAATTCATAAAAAATCCCAGAAATTAATATAAAATCCCCCAAAATTCATAGAAAATCCCTGAAATTCCCAAAAATTCATAAAAAAATCCTAGAAATTCATAAAAAATCCCCCAAAATTCATAAAAAATCCGGGAAATTCCCAGAAATTCACAGACTGCTACAAGAGCTGGCAGGTCCCTCCCCGCTCCCCCCAGTGACACAGCAAAGCGGATAAAATTCACTTTACAGCACTTAAAAAGCACAAACCACCTCTTTTTTTGTCCTGTTTTGGCTTTGAGGACCACCAAAAATACCAACATTCCCTCCTCTCCTGGTTTTTTTGGGCTCCTCAGCAGCCCAGGCCACCCGTTTTTAGCAGGGCTGTGTATAAAAGGAACACCTACCCTACAATTTGATTGAAATACTTCCTGTAGCCATCTAAAGTTTCGTGCTGCAACAAAGAGAGAGGGAGCAGAGGTTAAAACCCAGGTGGCCGAGGGCAAGGGGGGATTTTAGGGATGAGCCAGGGGCAGCAGGAGCCCAGGATGAGGTTCCAGGCCAGACTGACCATGTTGGAGGGAGGCTGCAGCACCAGCCGCGCTTGTTTTCTCCTCTGCTTCCTGTAGTAGCTCTCAAAGGTCTCCCGGGCTCCCTGGAAAACAGGAAAGGGTCATTGCAGCCCTCAGGATGTGCAGGAAGAGGTCACTTGGAATGTAAACCGTGGAACTGCTGAGGTTGGAAAAGCCCTCTGAGATCTGTGAGTCCAACCATGCCCAGCAGCACCAGGGCCACCCCTGCCCCATGTCCCCAAATGTCACATCCACAGGGCTCAAAATCCCTCAGGGATGGGCACTCCAAACCTCCCTGGGCACTTCCAATCCCTGACCCCCCTTTCCATGGGGAAATTCCTCCCAATGCCCACCCTGAGCTCCCCTGAGGCCGTTCCCTCTGCTCCTGTCCCTGTTCCCTGGGATAAGATCCCAAATCCCCCCGGCTGTGCCCTCCTGGCAGGAGCTGTGCAGAGCCACAAGGGCCCCCTGAGCCTCCTTTGCTCCAGGCTGAGCCCCTGCCCGGCTCCCTCAGGGATTCTGCAGCCCCTGTCCGGCTCCCTCAGGGATTCTGCAGCCCCTGCCCAGCTCCCTCAGGGATTCTGCAGCCCCTGCCCAGCTCCCTCAGGGATTCTGCAGCCCCTGCCCAGCTCCCTCAGGGATTCTGCAGCCCCTGCCCAGCTCCCTCAGGGATTCTGCAGCCCCTGCCCGGCTCCCTCAGGGATTCTGCAGCCCCTGCCCAGCTCCCTCAGGGATTCTGCAGCCCCTGCCCAGCTCCCTCAGGGATTCTCCAGCCCCTTCCCAGCCTGTTCCTGCCCTGGCCACGCTCCAGCCCCTCCAGGGCTCTCCAGAGCTGCCCCAGACCTGGAGGTGCCCCAGCAGTGCCAGCACAGGGGACAAGGACACTGCCCTGGCCCTGCTGCCACCCCAGAGCTGGGACATTCAATGTCCAACCTTGTGTCCAACCAGCACAAATGTGGAACTTTCCCCCGAAATTCCATTCAAGTATCAGAGCACAAAGAGTTGATCTGAACACACCAAGTCCAACCCCAGCTGCTCAGGTACAGGAATGTTCCGTGCCCCGTTCCTGGGATACACAGGGATGTGCCCAGCTGCTTTCTGGACCACAATTTGGACAAATATTGGATTTATTGCTCCATGGAACAACCAGTGGTGTCGTCAGCAAAGAGAATGAGGAGCCAAAAGACACCAAAGACACAAACAGGGGGAAGTAAAGGCCAGCTTGGACAGGGCCCGGAGCACCCTGGGACAGCTGAAGATTCCCTACACATGGATGGGCTCAAATGGTCCCTCCAACCAAGCCCTCCTGGGAATCTGTGAATTCCAGAATGTGTTTTGTGTACAGAATTCCAGAATGTGTTTGGAGTGCAGAATTCCAGAATATGTCTGGAGTGCAGAATTCCAGAATGTGTTTGGAGTGCAGAATTCCAGAATGTGTTTGGGGTGCAGAATTCCAGAATGTGTTTTGTGTACAGAATTCCAGAATGGGTTTGGGGTACAGAATTCCAGAGTGTGTTTGGGGTGCAGCATTCCAGAATGTGTTTTGTGTACAGAATTCCAGAATGTATTTTGTGTACAGAATTCCAGAATGTGCTTTGTGTACAGAATTCCAGAATGTGTTTGGGGTGCAGAATTCCAGAGTGTGTTTGGGGTGCAGAATTCCAGAATGTATTTTGTGTACAGAATTCCAGAATGGGTTTGGGGTGCAGAATTCCAGAATGTATTTTGTGTACAGAATTCCAGAATGTGCTTTGTGTACAGAATTCCAGAATGTATTTTGTGTACAGAATTCCAGAATGTGTTTTGTGTACAGAATTCCAGAGTGTGTTTGGGGTGCAGAATTCCAGAATGTATTTTGTGTATAGAATTCCAGAGTGTGTTTGGGGTGCAGAATTCCAGAGTGCATTTTGTGTACAGAATTCCAGAATGGGTTTGGGGTACAGCACTCCTCAAGACCACTCTGTAGCATTGGGAGAAATTACCTCTGCAGCTCATTTTCCCCAACTTGCCGTGGCTCTGAGTGTCCAGAGGATTTCCCTCCCCACAGCTGACCCCTCTCCATGGCCATGCCCCCTGGGCTGGACTCTGGAGGGCCCCTCTGGGGTGATCTTTGCTCCAAACCAGGCTCCACCTCAGCATCCCCGTCCTGGAGCTCCCCAGAGCCCAAGGATGAGCCCCCGGGCCATCCAGCCTGGATGTTTCATCCCTGCCCATCCTCCCTCCTCCACACCCTCCCTGTTTTCTGTCTGAAATTGGATCACAAACATCTCAGGGAAGGGACAACGTCTTGCTTTGAACTGTTGGGAGCCAAGGGAGAGGGGGAAAAAAAAAAACCCAAAAAACCCAACTCAGCCTCATTTAGAATTCACAAAACAAACAACATGCAACAACAAATATCACCTGAGCGAGGCACCAGCTGTCAACCTGCTCCTCTCTAGAAAATAAATTAATTAAAAGCAAAACCTGATGGTAATTTAATGATTCTCCAGCTGTTGTGGCATTATACAACCAGGCTGCCTCGGGATGCCCTCAGCTACCAAGGGCTTGTGAGGAGCCATAGCCTGACTTGCTCCTTCTCTTCTCCAAGTGCAGCTCCAGGCTCCAGCAGGAATCAGCCCAGGGATGTGCCCAGAGCTCTCCCACCAAATTCTACCCTTCCCAAAGGTGTCTAAATCCATCCAAAAAACCTTCTTAGGTGCTAAAATCCATCAAAGAAAACTTTCTTAGGTGCTCAAATCCATCCCCAAAACCTTCTGAGGTAAAAAAAATCCATTCCCAAAACCTTCTTAGGTGGTCAAATCCATCCCCAAAACCTCCTACAGTCCAAAAATCCATCCTCAAAACTTTCTTACATGAAAAAATCCACCCCCAAAACCTTCTTAGGTAGGTAAATTCATCCCCCAAAATCTTAGGTGCTCAAATCCATCCCCAAAACCTCCTACAGTCCAAAAATCCATCCCCAAAATCTTCTTAGGTGCAAGAATCCATCCCCAAAGCCTTCTTAAGTGCAAAAATCCATCTAAAAAACCTTCTTAGGTCCTAAAAACCATCTAAAACACCTTTTTAGGTACTCAAATCCATCTTCAAGACCTTCTTAGGTCTTAAAATTCATTCCCCAAAACCTTCTAAGGTCCTAAAATCCATCCCCAAGACCTTTTTAGGTGCTCAAATCCATCCCCAAAACCTTCTTGCATGCAAAAATCCATCCCCAAAACCTCCTAGCCGCTGTGCAGGTGCACTGCAAAGGGATGTGGAGATGCTAAATGTGGATTTTGTCCTTGAATTCTGCTTTCTGTCCTGGCTGAGTCTCAGGATGAGCAGCTCCCAGTGCATGCCAGGCACATCCAGCCACCCTGGCAAACCTGGATGACAAATCCCAGCTTTTCCCCCTGTAATCAGGTTCAGGAGCAACTTGAATCTATGAGAAATTTGGTATTTTAAGAGAGATTTTAGAACCAGGAACTGTGAACCAACATTTCCCTGTCAGATGTTCCCCACTCTCCCAAAAGCTGTTTCCCTCAGGAAAGGGAAGGATCCTGAGACAGAAATCAGGGATCTACAAGTGAGACCCAAAAAGAGGAGAATTATTCCAATTTTATCAAACCAAGAGATAAAATTAGGTGGTGCCTGAAGTTAAAAAGTGATAAATTCCAAGCAGGGAGCAGCCACCTCACTTTGAGCCCCTCTCCAAGGCCTGAATTTCAGTGATTCTCACAATTCTGGAGTTATCCATGTCCTCTCCACCACAGGAAAACCATGGAAAAAGGGATTGTCTCACTCACACCACCACTAAGGGACAAAACCAAAGGGATTTATTAAATTCTGCTGGGCCTTGGCTCTCCAAACCTCCACGAGCAGCACAACTTCCCCTGATCATCTCCATCCTCATCAACCCAGCCCTGGTGCCATCACTGACACCTCGGAGTGAAGCCACTCATTAAGCTGGAGGAAATTACTTAAATAAAAAAATAAAAAAATTAAAAATTACAACTTAAAAAAACCTGAAAAATAATTGAATTTTGGGGGCCAATCTAAAACTGAAGGTGTTTTTTAAACCATTTCTTTAATAAATGAACATGTGGCACCATCAAAGGCAGGAGCACAGCGAGGCTGAGCCACCACCACCAGCAGCAGGACCGTGGTTGGACATTCAAACACCAAACCCCTCATTCATGGTGCACCATCCCCTGGAAATTAATGAGTAATTAATTAATCACTGGACTCACAGAAGCTGCCATTTCCCCAATATTTTGTGGTGGCCTCAAGGACTCGTTGGAATCTCCGAGAGCAGCTCATCAGAGCAGGAGGCCTCAGACCAATTATAAGAGTAAATTTTGGGGGTTTCTGCTGAGACTGCACCAAATCCAGGCAGATCTGGGATTGATCCCTCATCGTCCAGCTCCAGGACCCTGCCTGCTCATCCACACTTTCCTTCAGGAAAGAAAGGACAAGGAGCCACCTCACACCCGACTGCACTTCCAGTGTCCCACCATGGCCGTGTCCAACCCAATTCCACAGAATTCCAGACTGGTTTGGGTGGGATAGGACCTGAAAGATCTCCTCATTCCACCCCATCCATGGGCAGGGACACCTCCTACTGTCCCAGGTGGATCCAAGTCCATCCCAGCCTGGCCTTGGACACTGCCAGGGATCCAGGGGTTGGGAATTCCTGGGATTCCCTGGGAATTCCAGCCCAGGCAGGAATTCCTTGCCAAGATCCCAGCCCAATCTCCCCTTTCCCAGTGGGAGCCATTCCCTGGCTCCTGTCCCTGCAGGCCTTGTCCCCAGCCCCTCTGCAGCTCTCCTGGAGCCCCTGCAGGGGCTCTGAGGATTCCCTGGAGTTTTCCCTTCTCCAGGGGAACATTCCCAGCTCTCCCAGCCTGGCTCCAGCCCTGCAGCAGCTCCGGGTCCTCCTCCGGGCTCTCTCCAGCAGCTCCCCACCATTCCCATGGGGAATTTTCCCCACCAGCTCCTCAGGAGCACCACAGGATGGGGGAGCCCCACACGTCCTGGGGCTCAGGGAAGCACAGGAACCAAAATTCCCAGCCCACTCCTCAGCTCCTTCCCCTTTCTCATAGGTTCT